CACGCATACAAGGTAAGGAAGGAAATGGTCCCAGTCTGTGACTGGTCCTCCTGCTTTTAATTAACTCCATTTTCTCTTCATCTCAGTCTTTTCATACTGAATATTACATCTTCCTCAGGAATATCCTGTGAGGATTAGACAAAAGGAATAGTAATATTGATGAACCTTGTTCTGTTTGTTAACGTCTTTTTTATTTAAAATTAGGAATACTTGTGTGGGTGCACATAAGTGTAGGTATCCATGTTGGCTAGGAGTGTTGGATCCCCCTGCAGTTGAAGTTACAGGTGATTGTGAGCATCCCACATGTATACTGGGAACCAACTCAGGTCCTCTACAAGAGCAATGAATGATCTTAATAGCTAAGACATGGATTCAATCCCTTGTTTTTCTTTTTCTTTCTTTTGTTTTTCAAGACAGGGTTTCTCTGTGTAACAGCACTAGCTGTCCAAGAACTCACTCAGTAGACAAGGCTGGCCTCAGATTCACAGAGCTCTGCCTGCCTCTGCCTTCCAAGTGCTGGGATTAAAGGCATGCACCACCATGTCTAGCTCATTTTTCTTGTAATAAGTATGTTTTGTTTGTTTGTTTTGAGACAAAGTCCTACTGTGTAGCCTTGGCTGGCCTGGAACTTGCTTTGTAGACCAGGTTGGCCTTGAATTCACAGAGAACCACCTGCTACTGGGATTAACGGCCACCACACACCACACCCCATGTTGGACGCCATTATGTTAGGAGCAGGTTTTTCTGACAGCCTGGTCCTACAGCCGAACCAGTCCCAAATAACACACTGAGACTCTGTATTAGATATAAAGCTGTTGGCCAGTTACTTGTTTCTTATCGGCTAGCTCTCTCTTAAATATTGACCCATTTCTATTAATCTAAGTATTTCCACGTGGTCTCATCTTACTGGAGAGAGGGGCTGGCGTTCTGCTCTCTCTGTCTTCCGTCTTGGAACCTCCCTACTACTACTTCTCTCCTACTAGTCGCCTAGTCCCGCCTATCTTGCTTTCCTATTGGCCAACAGTGCTTTATTCATTAACCAATAAGAGAAATATGTTTACAGAATGACATTTCCCATCATTCCTTTTCCTCTTTCCTTCCTTCCTTCCTTCCTTCCTTTCTTTCTTTCTTTAAAACAGAGCCTCTCACTCTGTAGCCCTGGATAGCTTATGTAGACCAGGCTGGTCTTGCTCACTAACAGATACATTTTCAGCAGCAGAATGTAAATAGTGTCAATTGTTAGCAACACCTCTACAAAGTCTTGTTGAAACAGTTTCTTTTGTTGCATGAATGGTGAATACCTGTGATTCCCATATCATGAAGTTGAAGCAAGATGATGTCACAAATTTGAGGTCAGCCTGGTCTATAAAGAATGTTTCAGGATAACCTGAGCTATGCAGTAAGACCATGTTACCTTCCTTGCCCTCCCCGAAAGGAGCACTGTGGCTATTCCCCTAGCACCATGCCTGTAGGAACGAGTCAGCAATGTATGCTGCTGGATTCTGCCAATTTACTTTCTGTTCAGCTTCTTCCTCCATCTTCATATCTTCTTCATGTCAGGGATAATATTTTTCTTCTAACATTATTATTTTTTTTTAGTGGAAATGTAGAGACTTAGAGAGAGGAAGGACAAAAGCCCACATTTCAACCAGCAACCTCATTTTCTTCCAACATTTGAAGGGAAGTTCTTATGAATAATGGATGATTGCCTGATGAATATTCACACAGCCCATTATGCCTGTGAGGTCTGGTAAATAATTTATGAGCCAAAATGTTCTTCACCTTGCTACTGTACAAAAACTTAAAAAAAAAAACACACACACACACACACAGCATATTCACCCTTTGAACTGCAGGGAGATCTGTCAGAGCTTGTGACAGCAACACAACTTTACATCACTGCTAAAACTAAACAATTAAACAGAAAATACTGTATTTCAGAGAGTCTAAAATGGAGCTTGCTCAGGCTAGACTCCATGCTGTGTGCATGTTTTCTAAAATTTTGCCTCCTCACCTTAAGGTAGCCTCATATTGTCAACAGCACGGATTCCTCCATGGGCCAGTCTCCTCACAGGACTTCAGTTTGCCCTGTGAGACTCACTCTTCTCCCTTGTTTTGTGAAAACTGGCCCAGACTGCCTTGGCAATGGTTTGCTGTTCATTCTTTCCCCAGTGACCCAGCTGGGCCACTGCTGTGTCATCCTTTGGCTAGCATATCTTTAGTGGCAGTAGTGGGTGTCCTTAACCTGCTGGTGAGCAGGACAAAGTTGTACAAGGGATGTGTTTGGAATACATTCATGGAGCCTGGCAGAACTTGGCTGTTCTATGATTTATTTAACATGACTTGAAACTGGGTCAATTCTCAAATCATGGAAGGTGGCTGAAGGAGAGAACCAATTCCTTTAAGTTTATCTCTGCCATCCAAAGGAGCATCCTGACACATGGCTCTCTCTGCCCCCCCCCAAGTAAATATAGTAAACAAAAACAGAATAAAGTACCTAAAAACTACAAATTATATTATAAAGTTATTGGGACAGGGTTGTAATTAAAGCAAAAACATCCTTTTATAACATTCGGATTTACTTAAGGATTCTTGAAGGAAAAAAAATCTTCAGAACAGTTTGCAAGAAAAAAGGGGTGATGGCACATTTCTTTAATTCCAGCACTCAGGAGGCAGAAGCAGGTGGATCTCTGTGAATTTGAGGCTAGCCTGGTCTACAAAGTGAGCAGAGGCTAGGGCAGGCTCCAAAGCCACAGAGAAACCCTGTCTCAAAAATCAAACCAAACAATAAATAAAAATGGTTTAGTTAATTAAAAAGAATCCAAGATGTGTATGTGAGACCCAGCCTGCCTCATATGGGCTCCTCCACCGACCTCTCAAACCTATGTTCTAGCTTGCTATATGAACAAAGATGGTTACTTCTCTGGCCCCATTCAGATGTTGAAATCCAAACCCACTTGTGGTGGTATTTGGAGAGGAGACAAGACTGTTAGGAGATGAGTAGACCACTGGTACACCTCAGAACGTTTCCTAACCCCTGCCACCATGTGAGGTTACTACCACCTATGAAGCAGGATCCTGCTACTACCACCATGATCTTCAATACCCCCACCTCTAGAAATACCCCCACTAACTAGAAAGTTAGTGCTGGGACCATAGTTATGCTTCTGAAAGGTTTTTATTTACATATTTGTACTGCCAAGCATGTGCTTGTACCCACTAGGAAATGGTGTCAGGTCCCCTGAGGCTGGAGTTCCGGGTGTTTGTGAGCCACCCTCTGTGGGTGCTGGGAATTGAACTCACGAAGAATAAATAGCAGGCAGGTACTCTTAGCCAACACTAAGCCATCTCTCCAGCTGCCTACCCCCCCCCCTTTCTTTATAGTAGAATCTTCTCACTGGCTCAGACTGGGAACTCATATGTAACCCCTGGCCTCAGATTCCCAAGTGCTGGGATTATAGGCACATACTACCACCCACAGCTTGATGTGTAGCTGAAGACTGACCCCAGAGCTTTGTTCATTCTAGGTATGCATTGTACCAACTGAGCTACTTCCCTAGACTTTCTTTTTCTGAGGTGTGTGTGTGTGTGTGTGTGTGGGTGTGGGTGTGTGGGTGTGTGGTGTTCTTGAGTGTGTGCATGTTGTATATGAATTGTGTGTGCACGTGAGTATGACTTGTTTTCCAGGCTGGTTCCTAATTGACGGGTTCACTCCATTTTCGGTTTCTCCGGTAGCTGATCTTTCAGGTGGGATGATGCCAGGATCTACCTTTTATAAAACCAAACTTCATTACTTGCCTGGACTGCCAATGGAAACGCCCGGATAAAACCCCAAGCTTTCTGGTTCTTGCCCATTTATCTGCTAGTGGCAGTGCCTCCTCACGGGCCCGCAGGAAAACATTGACAGGCCCAGCTGTGCAGCAAACTTCTGTGAGCAGAGCCTCAGGTTGCCAGCAAGATCTAGGCAGCCTAGGTTGTAACTGCTGGTCAAACCACCGGGTACCTCCCCTCTGCGTCTCTCTCCTCCCCTGGGGGTATGCTTCCTTCCCCTGGGGTTCTAAGGGACTGTCTGGCTAGGGCTCTACTCTCCACCCCTTTCCTCATAATGCTGCTTCTGCATCATCTACCTCCAGGTCATCCTAGACCACAGAAACATGGGTGTGGGTGGGATGAGGGGAAACGAGGTTGACAACAAGCCGCTTAACTGTTGGGAATCCGCCTTCTCTGGATTCATAAATCTCCCCTCCTCTCTCATTCTTTCTCTTTCCTTAGCTCTCCCTTCTCCTACTTCTCCATTCCTTCCCCTGCCCTCCTAATCAGCCTCTAAGCCCTCCCTTCCTTTAAACCCTCCCCACCACCACGATCACTGAAACAGAGGTTTGTTTTTCTCCATTACACCAAACTTTGTCTTTCTTTTCACACTTTCTCGAACTTGACTGTGGGTAGGACCCCGCCCCTCCACGAAGGTGTGGAGCGTTCAGGATGCTGGACCCCTCTGGGATGTGCCACGAAGGCACCGCTGCTCCCGAGGCCCTGCGCCCGTTGAGCCTGAGCGTCGTCTGCGTTCCCATTCCTTTCCCAGGCTGGAGGATAGACATGAACTTGAGGTTCGCGGTCGAGAAGGGCAGTTGACTATCGGAAAAGTCACAGTGGTCACTGCCCCAGTCCTCTGCTGAAGGGAAGGGGGCACTGGGTCACCCATCGAGACTCCTGTCCTACTCTCAGACCTCTCTGAGTCAAGCCACCCTACAGGCCCTGGGTTCCAGCCCTAGCAGGGCCTGGGGTTCCTCCCCCACCCCCACGTGCCGCTAGCCGTTCCCCGGCCCCCCTCCCTTTCCTGACCGCCGCCCCCGGCGGCTGGCGCGGGAGGTGCAGCATGCGGCAAAGCGCTTTGCATAAATTATGCTCATGACGCAGCAGCTAAAAAAATCCAAGTAGCAGAAGGAGGGAAAGGGGGGAGGGAGGAGGGGGCAAGGAGGGGACTGCACCTGGCCGCCCCCGCCCCCGGCGTCCCGGCCCGCGCGTGGCCTGCAACCCACCGCCGCTCCGCTCTGCCAGCCCCGCCGGGGGGCTCGGGGGGCGGCGGGTCCCGAGTGGCTCCGGGCCAAGCAAGCCGGGCCGAGCCGCTCCGGCTTCTTTGTCTGCGGGCGGCCGCCTCGGCCGCGGCCCCCTGGCCCGGGCTGGGACATGAATGTCTAGTCGGTGGCCGCTGGGCAGCTGGGGAGCGGGAGGCTGGGCTTCGAGCTCCGGTGAGTAGCGGGGTCCGGGGCGGGGAGGGCTTTGCACGGAGGGGGAGGGGGCCGGGCAGGGGAGGTTTCGGATTTGGTTAATATGCAATGCCCGTAATTAGCATAATTTATATATTTATGATAAAGAGAGAAAAAGGCGCGGGGCCGGAGCAGCGGGCTGCGGCCCGGGAGGCAGGAGCTGTGGGAGCGGACGGCCGCGCGCTGCCCACCTGGGGCCGCAGACCCCGGGCCGCGCCCTGGTCCCCGGTCCCCCGCGGACGTCCGTGGAGGGGCAGCCGCCAGGTGGACGCCCTGCCCTAGAGCCCGGGTGGGGTGTGAGGAAGAGGCGAGCAGAGCCCTGGAGACCCGGACGCTTGGGTTCCCCGGAGACCTGTCACCACTCCTTCCGAGAAAGGGGTGGTGGGACTCTGGAGTAGAGACCTCGCTGTTGCTGGAAAGATGGGGGAGTGGTGGGAGGGTCACCGTCGATCATAGCGAGAACACTTCATAAATATTTAATGACAGTATTAGTATTAATAATGACATAAAATAGGCCCCATGTGTCCTCCCGGGACATTTGCACCAGGCAAGGCCGAGGGATCTCCAGAGTGGCTTCTAACCCACTTGAGCGCTGAGATCGCTGGGATGGGAAGCCTAAAACCCTTACAGAATAGTCTGCGGCTGGGCAGGAGGAAATAAAAGCTTGTCAAGAAGTCTCACTAGGCCAAACACAGGAAGCTCCTTGCAAAAATGGAGAAACTATAGCCTTTTTGCTCCTTCTAATTTCTTGTTCTTAAAGTAGAAGGTTGATTCCCAGTTCCGTGTATATACACCTCCTGTCGCTTTGGCAATCCACGGCAGTCAACAATGACTGGTAAAAGGCACTCTGGGTATAGTGGCGTGTCCTCCGTTTTGATTGAACTTGGTGTTCGGGATGATGTATCTGTGACCCGGGACCTCTTTACTTATATATGTACAGGAGTACCACATTCATTTCCTTCATTGGTTCTATAAAAATAACCAGCAAGTGCCACACTGAGACAAAGCCCCACCTGTCCTGGAGTGAGCAAATGGATGATAAACGCAAAAACAAATCAGATAATGCCAGTTGGAGAAAGAGGGAGGGAGGGAGGAAAGTGAGGCTGCGGTGCGCTGTAGCCCCAGCAGCAGGGGCGAGAAAGCAGGAGGATTAAAGATTTACATACTGAGACTGTCTCAAAAAGCAAAGACAAACAAAAGCCCCAAACCAAACACCAACTTCAGTAAACACAAAACAAAAAGGGGGCCTGGCTAGATGGCTCAGCAGGTAAAGGCTTTTGCTGCAAAGCTAGCCACTCGATGTTTGATACATAAACCTCACATGGTAGAAGCAGAAAACTGACTCCAGCAAGATGTCTTCATGCACAAGTTGTGTGTGACACGTGTGGGTTACGGTATTCAGGCTCCAGACACAGACCAAGTGATAGATGTCAAAAAAGATAAAGCAGCAGCAACAACAAAGGAAACAAAGAAGCAGGAAGGTGGGTAGTGGCTCATGCCTTTAATTTCAGCACTTGGCAGAGGCAGGCAGATCTCTGAGTTCAAGGCCAGTCTGGTCTATTAAGTGAGTTTCAGGACAGCCAAACAAACAAACAAACAAAAACAAAAAGCAAACAAAAAACAGCTGGGCCATGGTCACAGCACACCTTCAGTCCCAGCACTTGAGAGATGGATCTCTGTGAGGTCAAGACCAGCCTGGTCAACAAGAGCTAGTTCCAGGACAATTTCCAGAGCTACACAAGGAAACCCTGTCTCGAAAAAACAAACAAACAAACAAAGAAACAAACCCTAAAAATAAAACAAACAGAAAAAACAAACAAGCAAAAAGGAAAGAAAGTCTGGAGATACAGCTCAGCAGTAGAGAATATTGCACCTGTACAAATTACACACACACACACACACACACACACACAAATGATGGTAGGAGAAAATACATATCACAAATTAGAAGAAATTTGCCCTAGCATCCACAAGGGCAAATTTAAACCCCGGGAATAAAAAGTTAAGAAATAAGAAATTTGTTTTCTGAGGATTCTCTGCTTCAAGGGAAAAAAGAAAAAAGAAAAAGAAAAAGCTGGATGTGGTGGTGCACACTTTTAATCCCAGCACTGGAGATGCAGAAGCAAGCTGACCTCTGTGAGTTCAAGGCCAGCGTGGTCTACATAGTTCCAGGACAACCAGGGCTATGCAGAGAGACCCTGTCTCTAAAGAGAGAGAAAGAGAGGGAGAGAGAAAGAGAGAAGTAAAAATCTGCCATAAACTCACATTCCCCTTCCAATATTTAATTACTATGCCATTATAATATTAGTACTTGGGCTGTAACTCAGTGGTAGAGTAAGTACATACATAGCATGCATGGGGCTCTGGAGCCAACTTCCTGTCCCATCAGTAAATAAGTAAATAAAATCATAATAGTAATTGTTTACATTTCATCCTATTTTATGATTTGAAACATTTTGTATGCATGCTTTATTTCAGTTAAAATAATAGCAATAATAATACTGGGGATGTAATTCAGTTGGGATAGTGCTTGCCTAGAGTACATGGAGCCCTGTGTTCCATTCCCAAGGCCCCTTTAACTATATGCACCTGTAACTGCAGCAGTTGGGACTGGGAGGCAGGAGAAGAGTTCAAGGAATCTTCAGCAGTGCAGGGAGTTCCAGGCCAGCCTGGAATACATGCAACCTGGTCTCAACAAATAAACAAAACCGAACAACAATAGTAACACTCATATAGTATCTTCATGCAGGGTCATACTGTAGATTCCTTACAGAAATATTGCCAATTTAAAATTGGGCACAGTGGCACAAGAGTGTAGTGATCACCTGATTAGCCTAGACACACAGAGGAACCGTATAAAAAAGTGTTATCTTGGGGGCTGTTGAAGAGATGGCCAACAGTTAGAGCATTTGCTGCTCTAACAGAGTACCCGTGTTCCACTCCCAGCAGCCACATGGCAGCTGCCTACTGCCTGTTAGTCCAAAGTAGGAAAATCCATTGAAAAAGCAGCTAAGTGGTTCCCAAGGGCTGGAAAGGACAGTGCTAGCTGAGTTTCTACCATGGATGTAAAATTTCCTTTTTGGTCATTGAAAATGTTCTTGATCTAGAAATGCTGATGATTGCACAATATTGTGAATGTACAAAATTCCACTGAAATATATACGTTAAAATCATGAAAGTGGTGGCCCACACCTTTAATCCCAGCACTTGGGAGTCAGAGACAGGTGGCTCTCTGAAGTTCTAGGCTAGCCTGGTCCTCACAGTGAGTTCCAGTCTAGCTAAGGCTACCTAGTAAGACCCTTTCTCAAAATATAAATAAATAAAATTATTAAAGTGAGGATTTGGCTCAGTAATGAGCACTTTCTAGTGTGCTCCAAACCTTGAGTTCAATCCCCGGCATCGCAGAAAGGGAAGTGAATAATACAATACAATATTTAACCTGGTGAGTTCTCAGCCATGTGAATTTATATGTGTTGGGGCTCCTGCAACAACTTATCCTAAATCTGGGAGCTGGTAGACAATAAAAGTTCATTGCTCACAAAGAAGGAGGCTGGGAAGGCGAGGTCAAGCTGACCAGTGCACCTGTTTCCTCTTGATGGGAAGACTGGCTTCCTGATTTCACCCTCTGGACACTCACACCTCTTCCATCTGTCACCTCCACCTTACGATTCCAGCAGATGAACTACACGATAGCAGAATTTTACCTCAGTTTATAAAAGGTTTGTGGGGCTTCAGATATAGCTCAGTGGTAGAACACTTGACTAGTATGCTCAAGGCCCTGGGTTCAGTCCCCAGGATGATAAAACAAACCAAAAATCTTGCACAGGTAAAAAGTAAAGAAAGGAAAAGTAAGATAAGGATATAGAGCAGTGTCCTGGATTTCCCCAAGTGTGACATGGTGACAAACAGCCCCCAGTCCCCAGAGTTGAGATGAGTAATATGTCAGTGTCACATAAAACACTCATCCTACAGCAGGTACCCAAACTAAATGTCAATTACCTTTTCTCCTACACAAATGTCTAACCTGTTTGCCTACTTTTAAAAAAAATTGGCTGTAGCCAGACAGTCTGTCCTCACTTGGGGTTCACCCACTCTCGCATCCTGCATCTGGCAGACCATGCCACCATTGGGAACATATTGCCTCCTGTGTATAGGACAACATGGTCCTTGGGCCATCACTGCAGAGTCTCTTGAGAGGTAATTCTGTTGACTTTGCCACTGAATAAGAGGCCCCAAGGGCTGTTGGAGAGGAGGTCTAGGAAGCGGTGTTTTTAGGACTAGCTCTGGAGTTTGAGAGCACTGGGTTAAATCCTCTACTGTCTCTTCAAGAAGCCTGCCCAGAGAAACACTGATGCCCAGAGCCCTCTCACCCCTGCCTAAGGTGCTTAGTGCTTCTTAGCTCCGCCTTGGGCTTTTCTGGGTGTGTCATTACCCATTGAACTGGGGGACCCCAGGGACAGATGCCTACCCTCTCTTTCCTTTGGCTTTCTAAACAGATCTGGGTTTTCCTGGGTGTGGGTTCTCCTGGGATGCTAGAGAGTCTTTAGAATTCATGTCTTGCTTTGTTTCCTTCTCTGTGTTCTTGAGAGAGCCTGCCCTGTCTTCTCCTACCATTCTATTTCTGAATTTTCTAGATAGTCTGGAAATTCTAAAGCTGTGTCACACCAGCCTGTGCTTTCCCACTCCTCTCTTACCCAGGATGCACTAGGTGTGGGCTGTCACCCACCCCACTCTGCAGTGACCATGGATCCTGGAGCTGGCTCTGACTCATCTCTGACTGTGAATGAGCAGGTATTTTCTGGGCTGAGAAGTTGGGGTGGTGAGGTTAAGGGAGAAAAACATAATGGGGCCTCTCATTATCTCTTACTAAGTTTATGGTCACTTCACCTGTCCAAAGAGAGTTTCGGCTAGGGCTTCTCAGGGGCTGGGTTTGGGATTTTAAGTTACTACTTGGAAACTAAAATTAAACTGCACTGGGGGCTAGAGAGAGGGTTCTGCAGTTAAAAAGCATTGGCTGCTCTTACAGGGGATGTGGACTTGATTCCTAGCACTCACATGACTGCTCACAACCATCTATAACTCCGTTCGGAGGATCTGATGTCACCTTCTGGCCTCTGAGGGCACTACATGCATTTGTTGTGGACATACATACATGTAGGCAAAACACCCATACACATAAAATAAAAAGTAAGCTCTCAAAAGAATGTTGAAGTACACAAATACTTCTGGTATCCCAAGTTTAGAAGTTACTCAGTGGTCAAAGTGTTTGCAGCCTAAGATACCCCAAGTTAGAACCCCAGGACCCATGTAAGCATGTGGTGCTGTGTCTCTGTAATCTCAGCCCTCCTCACATGAGACCAGAGAACTGCTGGAGGCTGAAGGGAGTACACAGCCTGCCAGAGGAAGAACCCTGCCTCAGCCAGGTGAAAGGAGAGAATTCCTGAAAGGTTCATGAGCACTGTGGCAAGCATATATGCATGCACACACGTGAACATGCACACACACACATACACCATTAATGAAGAAAAGCAGTCTCAAGTTGTGGAGCACTCCCTTTCCATGCTCCCCTATCCTCCCCCTCTGGGAACCTCCTGAGTCCTCATCCCCAGTTATGGAGAGTACTAATATCTCAGTATCCAAGAGGATACTCTTGCGAGCTTGAAGGCCAGACCATTTCCCACTTCCTGAGCTGAGTCCAAGATGGGAAACAAACAGAAGTACCTCCTAACAGTTTGGCTCTGTGGGACTTTTCTTTCTGTTTCCAGGGTTCTAGCAAGCTCATTGTTGGGAACCAGGGGCGGTAGTAGCCTGGCCCAAATTCTGGCATTCTTAGAGTGTCCCATTCTCTGGATAAGAACTCTGCATCCTAAATCCTCCCCATCCCTCTCCTAGTCATATCCCGAGCTCCAGCTCCTTTCCCTAGCACTGTCCCCCATCCTCTACTTGCAGGTCATTGTGATGTCAGGCCACGAGACCATCCGAGTGTTGGAAGTTGGAGTGGATGCTCAGCTCCCAGCAGAGGAGGAAAGCAAAGGACTGGAGAATGTGTCTGCTGATGGTTCCCAGAGTGGAGGCCCTGCTGAAGCTGGTGAATCCGCTAGTGAAGCTGGGCCACAAGACCCAGACCATTCTGCAGAAGCAACTGGTATGAGGCTATTGCTCTAATCCATTGCTACTCTCAGATGTCCCTTGTGGGCCTGGGTGACATTAGGGTTGTCTTTCTGCCCACTTGGCAGCCTCTGGCCACAGTCCATAATTATGACCAACTTCCAGGAATATCCTGCTCTCCTTGCATCTGGAATTGTTTCCTTGCAGTCATACCCATGCCGTAACTGAGTTGGCTCAGGGCGAAGATTGATTGGCATGTTCGGCCTAGAGAGGGTCCTAAGTCCATACCAGACTGTCAAGCCAGGGCAGAAGAGACTGGCCTCAGGATCCCACCAGCTTTCCAGCCCAATCCCATTGGTAGCAGAGCTGGGAGATCCTGAGAGCCTGAGAATGGAAGAGCATCTTGTATTCCTCCTGCTAAGGATGCAAATTAGGCTATATCTGCCTTTGCCTGCCTCCCTTGGCTGGGTTTACAGGTGACCTCAGGGATGAGGTAGAGTCACTTGGCCTGTAGCAGATGGAGAGCCAAAGACGTTATGGGGACTGAGCTGCCAGCCTGGGCTGCTACCCTATGGACCCTATGGACCCTATGGAGCCATGTGGAATGAACTTCTTTTCTGAAAAATTCAGGGAGTTTCTTGGGTTTATCCACAGTGCCCTTTTTGCCCATTTTCTCGACCCCATTTTTTTTTTTTCTGTTGTCAGAATTCTCCCCTTACTCAAATGTGCTTTCAGAAATTGACCTTAAATTAGCAGTGAGCCTCTTCTCTTATAAAAGGCTTCCTCTGAGTCAAGGAGTTTGAGCTGGGGCAATCAGGTGATGAAGGTAAAGCGACTGTCAGTAGAGACTGAGACTGATTGGAACTTTTCTGTAGCTGCAGTATTCAAAAGAGGCCACTCCCATAAAAACAAGCCCGAGTCATAGGAAACTAGAGTGAAAAGAATCTAGTGGCTCATGTCATTCTTAACTGTGAAGTCCTTGTCACACACTTGTATATTCGTTCTTGTGCCGCTGGAGGGTAGACTCTGGAATATGAGACAAACCCCCATGTTTTTTCACGTGCCTGTTTTTTTTTCATTAAAACTTTTTTAGATTTGTTTATATGTATGGGTGTTTTGCCTGCATGTATATATACATGTACCACATGTGTGCCAGGAACTGTCAGCAGTCAGAAGAGGACATCAGGTCCATAACTGGAGTTACAGATGGTTAGCATTACAAAGCCACCATTTGGGTGCTGGGAACTGAACCAGGGTCCTCTGCAAGTGTAGCCAGTGCTCTTGACAGCCGAGCTGTCTCTCCATTCCTTGGTGTACCCATTTCCTATACTGACATGATCTCACACTTGTGCTTTTGATTTGGGCCACTCTTAACTATTTTTATTCTCATAAACAGTACTTCTTTGAATATGTTTGTACGGATCTTTTAAAAAATAGTATAGTGCACTAAAATTCTTCGAAAAAAATTGCTTGTTGAAGTTGCATGTTGTCACATGACCATAGTGCCAGTGATGTGGAGGCTGAGGCAGAAAAGAGTGTTATGAGTCTGAGACCAGCTTGAGCTAGTTAGTGAGTTCTAGGATAGCTTGGGCTACAGTGTAAGACTTTATCTCAGGAAAAAGAAATCACTTGTTGACATAGAAGGAAATTATTACATGAAAAAATTTAAAAGGCCACTTAACAGCAATAATAAGAGAAGGAGGTTGGGCATGGTGGCATATACCTTTAATCCAAGCACTCAGAAGGCAGAGGCAGGAGGATCTCTGGGTTTGAGGCCATTATGGTGTGAATAGCAAGCTCCAGGACAGCCGGGACTGCATAGAGACCCAGTATAAAAACAAAACAAAGACCAAAGGAAGCAGAGGAGGTTTTAAAGTCCAGCTTGCCTGGTAAGCCAGAAACACAGAGAAAAGGGACTGAGCCTGTGGCTTGCTGGTGTAGTGCTTCTTTAGCCTGTGAGTTTTGGGTTCAATCCCCTGCTCTACATACAAGTGGGTGTGGTCATCCACCACTGTAATCCTAGCAGGGGGAGGAGGAAGGAGGTCTGGAGTCTGAACAAGTAAAAACAATAGGCAGAGCCAGGCATTTGAGCCAGGCCCATTGTACCTGTCCTTGGGGCACTAGGCAGGGCTGAGCCAAGAAGACTGCTGAGGATTCAAGGCTAGCCTGAGTTCAAAACCAGCCTGGGCTACAGAGTGAGACCCGGATTGTGGAGAAACAAGTATCCCGCTGTGCCTTGACCCTCAAGACTTCAACCTAGAACCCAAAGACCCAAGGGATGGGGGCAAGAGACGTGAGATTGACCACAAGACAGGATTCTGATCAAGTGGCAAATTGTATTTTCTACCTGGAGCTTATATAGCCAGCACAGCAGGATATAGCGGAGGGGGTAGGGGAGGTAAGAATAGTTGAGGACCAGGTGTTCTTGCAAACAGAATATAGAAAATCACAAAGAATGGATGTTGGCAAGGTGGAAAGATCAGGCGTTATGAGAACAAGAAAGGTTACTATGGTAATGGGGCTAGTGGTTATATGCTAGGCTGACCTTGCTAAATAGGGCTAGTTACTAAATCATCAAATCTTTGTGATATAACTGAAGGCTCTAAATGTACAGCCAAGAGAAACAGCCAGAGTTCTGCCAAGGTTCGTTCCATAACTGATTATAGACCCAGCCTCTGTTCCCAATACCGCTGATGCTTCTGAGGGTGTTCAGTCTCTCTGTGAAAGCTTTTAGAAAACCCTGTGCTTCTACTTTGGTTTTGGTTTGGGTTTTGGGAGGCAACATCTCATAAAGTCCAGCAGTGGATTGCAGGCACATACTACCTATTGAGGTGTGCCAGCAAGCCTGGCTTTGTCTTGCCGGGGAGTATATAGCTCAGGCTGATCTTGAATTCATTTTGAATTCCCTATTCTCCTGCCTCAGCATCCTACATAGTAGGATTAGAGGTGGGAATCAAACTGCTGGCTGTGGTCCTACTTTGGAACTACACCCTAATAAAATTGGTGTTTCTTTTCCCTATGGTAGGATTTTATCCCTATCACATTCCCATTTTATATGCTTCTTTCTGTTGATTTATTTATTATTTGAGTGTGTGCATGCACGTATATGCAAACATGAGCGCACACATGTGGGGGCCAGAGAACAACATACAGAGTTGATTCTCTGCTGCTTCCATGTGTTGCTGGGGCTGGTACTCATGTTCGGCTTGTCGCCAAGAACGCTTCCCTGCTAAGCCATGTTGCCAGTCCCACATTTTTTTTTTTTTTATGTTTCATTACATTTTGTTCAACAAAATGGTTTTCATCCTGACTGCCCTGGTTTTACCCAACAGTCAAGGATCTGAGTTCCCTTCACAGAAAAGAGAATCCTGACACTTGTTTTCTTTTTCTGGTTTGTAAGGCCTGGGTCATATGTGTGTCTCCAGTTCTTTCAACTTTCTGGGTTTTATTATTAGGCTCTGAGAATAGTTGTAGGCTTAAGCTAAGCTGATTTCAAAACAAAAACAAAATCCCCCAAACATAAAAAGGCATAAGCTGGGACTGCAAGGCTGGACAGGACCCTTGAGGTCACCTAGCACTGAAGCCCACTCTGCTGGGCACTGAATTCCAATGGAGCTTTAAAGTGAGATTGGGAAGGGGGAGAGAGACTGATTAACTGATTGATTGGTTGATTGATTGATTGATTACTGGTGCCTATTCTTGACTTTCCAATTCAGGCCTGAGCCTAGAAATATATGCCCTGTGAGGTCATATTAAGAAGCCATGCCTCTTGGTGATGGCACAAACCTTTAATCCCAGCACTCAGGAGGCAGAGACAGGCAGAGCTCTATGAATTTGAGCCTGGTCTATAGAGCCAGTTCCAGGACAGCCAGGGCTACACAGAGAAACTCTGCCACAAAAACAAAACAAAACAAACAGAAAGCCATTGATATGTCCAACATCCATCACTTAATAACTAGATTCTACATTTTACTATTTGCTTGCTTGCTTATTTGGCTATCTATAATCTATCTATCCATTCATCCATCATCTACCTATCCATCTATCATCTGTCTATCTATCCATTCATCTATCCATCTACCCATCATTATCTATCCATCCATCATCTGTTTGTCTGTCTGTTGGTCTATCCATCTACCTATCTATCTGTTTGTCCATCTATCTATCCATCCATCCATCTTGCAATGCTGCGGATTAAACCAAGCAAGCAGTCTACCATCATGCTGTGTCCCTAGCCTTAGATTTCTATTGTTTTTGGCTTGTAAAATTGCAGTTTTTATCTCACTGTTGGGTGGCTGTGATGAGATTTCCTGGTAGGGAAGCCAGAGGAGGTGAATGTTCATGAAACATTCTTTTGGAAACTCATAGAAACTGCCTTTTGACTGAAAACTTTACAGTACAGTGGAAAAAAGCTGAGTGGCCTGAGGAGCTGCTGTGACCCAAAAGTGTGACAATGATAGGCCCAGTTTTCAGGGATTTTGTACTTACAGGACTTGAAACATCTAAAAAGGTGGCCTAGATGGGATAAGGAACAGTTCAGTTGCTGACCGAGCCCAGGACAGTGGCTTTTTTCCTCTCAGCTCTAGTTCCACCCCAACCCACCCCCACATACCCCCACCCCACCCTGAGATACATTTGCTTCAGGCTCCTGGCTGCTATGTGACAGACCACAGTGTCCTACAGAGTCAGGAAATGATGAGCTGACAGCCAGCTGAGCAGAACCTGATATTTCCTTCCACTAGATGTGGGAGGAGAGTACCTACCTTCCGGGTGTGGTCCAGGGCTCTCCAGCCTTCTAGTGATTACTAGCAGCATTTGGGAAGGTGCCCCATGGGCCAGGGAAGGCTACCATCTGGCTCTGGATTATATGCAGACAAGATGTTCTACTCCAGTCACCCTTCCACTCACATCAGGCTCACTCTCATCCTTCCTTTCAATGCCACCTGAAGTGAAGTCGCTGCCCGGGATCCCTCCAAGCCCTGCCCCAGCCATTGCCACCTTCAGCCAAGCCCCAAGCCAGCCTCAAGCATCACAGACCCTGACGCCACTGGCCGTACAAGCTGCCCCCCAGGTAAGGGCCACATCAGGGAGCTGGACAGAGGGCAGTGGGCAGGAGCAAGCACCAGGTGGCCATGGGGTTAGGAGCTGCATGAGGCAGGGCAGGAAAGAGGCTATGGCTTGAGGGAGGGAATCTCCCACTAGGTATCCCTAGGCTGCCCCTGCCCCATATCAGGCCCATTCCCAGGTCAGGAAAAAGGATGTGTGTTCGTTGGACGGCTTCCCTGGGTTCAGAGAAGGCTGGGATTAACTCTTTCCTAGGAGAATTTGTGCTTATCTAATGATAAAATGAATGAGCATCCTTACATTCCCACCCCAGAAGAAGAGTTAATGAATTGTCCAGTCTAAAGTTAAGTTATAAAACCTCCCAACCAATGAGAAGCTGCCGGTAGAACCCCACAGGCCAGCAGAGCCTGGATGACCTCTGTTCATGCACTGACCTCCAAGGCTTCTGGTCAGGGTACCCTCCTCTCGAGCTTCTTGGAGGCCTCTATGGACCCTTGACCACTTGATAGCAGCTTCTGGTCCCCTGTGCCCTGGCCACAAACCAGTGGATGCACCAAATGACCAGCTTTGAAAACACACATACGAGTGACATTACACAGACCAAGCAGGTTGTACTTGGGAATTTAGAAACACACACACACACACACACACACACACACACACACACACACACGATATCTTTCAACAATTAATGAAAAAAAAAAAGGCCATATGGAAAAGTAAGGAGGGACATATTGGAGACTTTGGAGGGAGGAAGAAGGGGAAATTATGTGATTATATTATAATCTCAAAAATAAAAGAAGTAATAAAAGGAACAAACATTGTACAAGCAAGCATGTCCCAGGGAAGGTTTGAGAGACATCAGACCTCATGGTGGTGTACCCTGACCTGCCTTGCAGGCAGGACTGGGCCTTTTCCTAGACAACTTCTCTGCAGGCAGGATAGTGTGGTCCAGATAGGCATGGGTTAGGCCTTCAGCTGGGGCTCTTCTTGCTTTCGTTTGGCCTTTGTCCCACTGCCCTCAGAATGCTTGCTTATGCTCAGCTGGGTCCAAGAGACCCCTCATTTGCGCTGTGGATGTTGATTTTTTTTTATGTTTTCTTTTCTTTTTGAAATCTCGTTTGCTTTTGCAGGTCTTGACTCAGGAAAACTTAGCCACAGTTCTGACAGGAGTTGTGGTTCCGGCAGGGGCGGTTACTCAACCTCTTCTTATCCCCATCAGTATTGCAGGTCAAGTGTCTGGGCAGCAGGGGCTGGCCGTGTGGACAGTTCCTACAGCAGCCGTGGCTGCCCTCCCCGGACTGGCCGCTGCTTCCACGGGGGCAGTCTTCAAGCCACCTTTAGCTGGGCTCCAAGGTAACGGCAGCTCTCCCCAGGACTGCACCAGGCCCCCACCACCCTACACTGCCACCCCTGCACGCGTACTTACCATGTTGGACTCAGAGCCTGCAGCCCACCCAGGGCAACAACTCTGGATTCTGGATCCAGTGTCATAGGCACCCAGCCACAGAGCCGCTGCACCGCCTCGGGACTCTAGGCCAGGACACCAGGCTGGCCAGCAGGCCTGCCTTCCTTCAGCCAGCTGCTTGAGACTGCCCCCTCCCCCACACCAGCATCCACCCAATGACCAGCAAGAAGGACTGCAAGAAGAGTCAACGTCTGGTTCTCAAACCTACATGTCTACTGACCCAAGGGAGGGGGGATGAGAGATGTTGGCATGTGCCAGCCCTTCAAGAGTCAAGGGAATTGCAGCTGCCCCACGCCCACTGCCCCCAGTGCCCTGTCATTTTTGTGCCAGATCCCTTGGGACTGGAGCCATGCTGGGTCGTGGCTAGACGCTTGAGCACCTCTGTCTCTGCCTTGCTCCGTAGCAGCTGCCGTGCTGAACACCGCCCTCCCGACACCTGTACAAGCTGCCCCACCAGTCCAGGCTTCCCCGCCCGCCCAGCCCCGGCCACCAGCACAGCCCCAGACGCTGTTCCAGACCCAGACGCTGCTACAGACCACGCCTGCCATACTCCCACAGCCCTCTGCTGCCACTGTTGCCGCCCCCACGCCAAAGCCAGTGGACACCACCCCACAGATCACCGTCCAGCCTGCAGGCTTCGCATTTAGCCCAGGGATCGTAAGCTGCTGCCCTCACCCAGGGCTCCGAGGGATGGACCAAAGCTTGGGCCAAGGGTGGAACATCCCCCACAGTGGAGGACCAGATCCTTGAATACAACCATTTCCGACATATCAGCAAAGATGGGCTCTCCTTACACCCATCACCCTGTCCTACCCAGACTAAAGCAAGCAACGGCTGGGGAAATGCTCCCAACCAGAACCATTGCACCAGCCTTGGGGGGTGGGATCACAGGAGGATCACAGCTTCATGCTGGCATCTGTCTTGTCCTGTGTGGCTCTTGGTTTGGGAGTAGAAATGCCAGGCATGACTTGGAGCACAATTGTCCCTCTAGTCTGGCCATCTACTCTCTCAGACTTAGTTGGGAAAAGTAGTGGGAGTCACTGTTTTGTGACTGTGCCCCTGTACTTGTCTCCTAGCCTTGAATATTCAGCCAGTGGACAAGAGCCTGCAGCCCACACTGACCACTCAATACCCTCAGCCCTCTTTCCTCTCTCTGGTCTTTCTTGCCTTTTGGCCTCTGAGCAAGGCTCTTCCTCCACAGATCAGTGCTGCCTCCCTCGGGGGACAGACCCAGATCCTGGGTTCCCTCACTACCGCTCCAGTCATTGCCAACGCCATTCCCAGCATGCCAGGGATCAGCAGTCAGATCCTCACCAATGCTCAGGGACAGGCAAGTGGTCAAAGCCAGGGCTGAGGGATAGGGGGTGTGGGGCAGCTGGCTAGAAAGGGGTGAGGACTTGGTCTTAAGTCATGTCACAGAAACTCAGGTAGGGCACGAGGCTGCTGCTCCTAACTTCTGCAGCAGCTCTCTGCTAACATGGAATCCAGGTGGAGGTATAGTCACCACTCTACCCTGGCAGGGCTAATTCTAGCTGGGAGATTTTATTCACGTAGTACCTACTTTGTGAGCAGGCCTCATGCTAGATGCTTTTTCACGTATTAACTCACTTGGTTTTGTATACAAACCTATCAGGGGATCTTTTGTTTTATGGGAGAGGAGGGTGAAATTCAGAAATACTAAACCCCATGGCTAAAATGTGGCAGACTAGCAAAGAGCTTCTGGTTCTCTGACACACACACAAAAACCTTTGCCTGCCCCATGACAGCTCTAGGGTCAGAGTAAAGAAAGGAGCCCCTTGGGCATGAGTCCTTTATTCTATTGAGGAAGCAGAGGTCAGAAGGCTTAAACAGTTTCTCTGAGTTAGTCTCTTAGCCTGCAGCTATGGGAATTGAATTGGTGGTCCTGGATGCCCCCCTCATACTTGGGGACCACACCTTATTTTCTCCCAGGTTATTGGAGCACTTCCATGGGTAGTGAACTCTGCTAGTGTGGCCACACCAGCACCAGCCCAGAGCCTACAGGTCCAAGCCGTGACTCCCCAACTCTTGTTGAATGCCCAGGGCCAGGTGATCGCAACCCTAGCCAGCAGCCCCCTGCCTCAACCTATGGCTGTCCGGAAGCCAAACACACCGGAGTCCCCTGCTAAGAGTGAGGTACCAGGGCTGGGGGTGTGGATGGGTATGGGAAGGAGATACTGTCTAGCATGGCTACTTTCCTCTGAAACTTCTGGAAGAACAAGGCACCTCTCAAAAGTGAGGAGCTCCCCACCCCCAGCATCAGGTTTATATGGGTTTACACATATGCCGCCCAGGGAAACAGCCCTCCAGATATCATGGCATGTATCTGTGCCCACAGAGGCCAGAGACGTGGAAAGTAAAGTGAGCAAAGCAGATTGGGCACCTTTGGGAGAACAAATGGCTAGAAAAGCTCTGATGGTGATTTCTGTATCCCACCACCACACACTGGGCATTTTGACTCTTATGTATTTCCATTTTAGAAGAGATTTTGAGTTCCTTTTATATTTCCAATTCTAAGGATGCGAAGATGCTAGCCTTAGGCAGCTCATTCGGAAGGCTTTGAGGGAGGCATGAATAAGGGGCTGTGGTACCCCACAAATGAAGCCCTGACAGACTGGGGTCAGGATAGCTCCAGAGAGCAAGTATGACAGCTAGAGACAGACAGTTCTCAGATTTGTGCACTGGGGTCTCCTGCAGGGTGCCACAGGGCTGACTTTCTTTTCCAGTAGATCTGAAGTGAGACCCAAGGATATGCCGAGTTCTCAGATGACATTTATGCCCATGATTGTCTAACACTACATGTTGCTCCCAAGATGATTTTAAATAATCCCTTAGCCTTATCTGGAAGAGAGTGGCTAAGAGAATGCTTACTTCTGGGAGGTGGTGGCACACGCCTTTAACTCTAGTTTTTGGGAGGCAGAAGCAGGGGTATCCCTGAGTTTGAGGCCAGCCTGGCCTACAAAGTGAGTTCCATGACAGCCAGAGCTGCACAAAGAAATCCAGTCTCAAAAAACAAAAACAAAACAAAACAAAAAAAGCACAAAAGACTTAAGTTTAAATTTGGAGGCTGGAGAGATGGCTTAATGGTTAACAGCACTGACTGTTCTTCCTGAGGACCTGGGTTCAATTCCCAGCACCCACATGGCAGCTCACAACTGTAATTCCAGTTCCAGGGGGATTTGATACCTTCACACAGGCATTCATGCAGGCACAACACCAATGAACAGAAAGGAAGGGGGAAGGGAGGGAGGGAGGAAGAAAAGGAAGGAAGGAAAAGATTAAAAAAAAAAAAAGAATTTCTACTTCTGTCATGTGTGGTGGTACACATCTGTAACCTTAGCCAGCATGAGCTATATAGGGAGTTTAGTTCCAGCTTAGGTTATAGGATCCTGACTCAAAAAACAAAACAAACAAACAAGAAAACCTCTTCAGTAGTTTACGAATATTATACAAAGGAACTGGTGCTGGCTCTCTAGTACACAATCACCTTGTGACAGGTAGTTCTGCTGACAGATGTCCATCTTAGAAAAGCCCTCGACCTGGGTGGAGTCAAGGATCAGCTGTTGTGATGCTTGGACCTGTCCAGGCAGGCAGTTTATGTTTTCCCTTTTTCCTCAGTGGTACTGGGGATTGAACCTGGGGTCTTGCTCATACCAAGTACAGCATCAGTGTGGTGTTCTCTAAGCCCTGGTCGCTGTAGGGAAAGACTAAAGCCAGGTCCTGGGGACGAAGGGACAGGTTTGAGAGCTAGCAGGAGGCAGAATCCAAGGAACAGAAAGTCCAGGAAAAACCTGCATTTTCTAAAAAGCTTATGGGTCTTTGTTTTGTTTTTGAGACAGGGTCTCATGTATAGCCCTGGCTGTCCTGGAACTCGCTATGTAAACCAGACTGGCCTCAAATTCAGAGCTCTGACTGCCTCTGCCTCCCAAGTGCTGGGATTAAAGGTGTACATCCAGCTGTTTTTGTTTTAAAATCATACTAATAATGCCAATTTCAGATATTTGTAGTTTTTTTCTGATCATAAATAAGATGTATAACTTTAACATTGCAATATTTTGTGTCATATAAAAAGTTGTGCATATCTGAGGACTGGAGTTTGGATCCCAGGCACCAGAAAAATGTTGGGTGAGTGTGGTAGCCCATGTGTAATTTCAGAAGACAGAGGCAGAAGATCCTAGAAGCAGGCTGCCAGCCACATTAGCCAGCCACATCTATGAGTTCTGGGCTCAGCTGAGAGAGACTGCTTCGGTGAATAAGATGGAAACCTTGATGTCAGCCTCAGACCTCCACACTCATGTGGCACATATGTATGTCCCCATACATAATACAGACACATGAGAGAAAAAATAAGAATCAAGACAGTGTGGTGATACATACTAGTAATTTCAACACTTGGGAGGTGGAGGCAGGAGGGTTATAAATTCAGGGTCAGCCTTGAACACAGAGATCAAACCCATTTATTACTGTTACTATTAATAAGCCAAGGTATAGTTCTGCTTTTTGATGGCCATAGGTGGGGGTGCCTGGCTAGGTAAGTAGTTCATGTCCATTTCTGTTGTGGTGCTGGTCCACTCAGGGATTGTGACCCCCTGAGTTAGGCAAGAGTCATGGGGCTTGTGTCTCTTCTCATAGGTGCAGCCTATCCAGCCGACACCGACTGTACCCCAGCCTGCTGTGGTCATCACCAGCTCAGCCCCAGGAGTCAAGCCATCTGCTTCAGCTCCCATCCCAATCACCTGCTCCGAGACCCCTACCGTCAGTCAGTTGGTATCAAGTAAGTGATTCTTAGAAGAGGAATGTGGATCTAGGGTACCTGGCATGCACCTCTAGTCCCAGCTGCTCAAGAGGCTGAGACCAGAGGAGTCCAGAGCCCAGGAGTTGAGGGCCAGCCTAGTGAGACCCAGTCTCGAATAAATCCATAGATTTCCTGGGTAGAGGCCCAAAGTGGGAAGAGAGTAACTTTCAAGTTTCTTTTTCATTGATTTGTTTGTTTGGGATTAGGAGTGGGGCATGAGTATCCGCAGTGTGATGATATCCACGGTGTGCATGTGTGTCCCTGGGATTGAACTCAGGTCCTCAGGCTGAGTGGCAGGCATCTTTACCCAATGAGTCTCTTGCCCTCTACCAAGAGATGTCTTTCTTACTCATTTTCCTGTTGGGGTAGCTGTGAGCATAACGGAAGTGGAGGCTACTAAGACGCCTGTCTGGTTTCACTGCCTGGCTCAGTGTGGTCTGTCACCCGGTTCTGAGGAATATAAATGACCGACAGTTGTGCCTGGAACCAGAGTAGTGAGCACGGGAGAGGGTCAGCAGTTAAACCTGGGAGAACTTAAAAATAGACCACTTCGGTAGGTCATTTTAGAGCCCTTTTCTGCAAGTCCTTGTCTGGGGGATAGGGTGATGAGAGTCTTTTGATAAGTGTCCTTGTCCCTTTTACTATACCAGTCTAGACCCCTGGGCCAGATAAACAGTGTGACTCTCCTCTTCAGGCACTCACCTGGTTCTTCCTTCTGACCTAGAGCCACATACTCCAAGTCTGGATGAGGATGGGATCAACTTAGAAGAGATCAGGGAGTTTGCCAAGAATTTTAAGATCCGGAGGCTCTCCCTGGGTCTCACACAGACCCAGGTGGGTCAGGCTTTGACTGCGACAGAAGGCCCAGCCTACAGCCAATCAGCCATCTGCCGGTATGTTTGACTCTTCCAATACAAAGCCAGGACCTGCTCCTGGGTATCCAGTCCTTTTACATGTTTCCCCTCATGCTGCCTCTGCCCAGATAAGGACTGTCATATGGAGGACATGGATGCCTGGAGTAGCCAAAGACTGACCAGGGCCTTCTAATGTTTAGATACACTCTAATCTTGAGTGTATAGATGTCCACGTGATGGAGGCCGTTGAAGAATCCTGACAGGAAAGGGTTATCACAATAAAATTGGTCTGTCTTGGCCCTCAGCCAGTGGTACCCAGTGTGCCCCTGGCTGCCTTGCCTCCCATGCGTGCCAGGTCAGCTCTGCTTGAAGGTGCAACAGGCCTTGTTCTGGTGCTGCTGTGGGAGCATAGTGAGAGGAGAGTGGCCTTCTTCTCCACAGGCCATTCAAGATGAGTTCACAAAGGACTTCCAGTCATTTGTGGGGGGGGGGGGTGGAAGTTCTGGTAAGTTAGAGCACACTAGCAGAGGCTGTGGGCATAGTATCCTCTGATATGGAAAGTCTGAGGAGGGATCTGAGCTTTGAGGGGCCGGGGGTAGGGACCCTGAGTAGGAGATAGCTGCCCCTCGCGAGAGATGTGTAGAAGAGATAGCTGCACTGTCTCTGCACTGCCTCCAGGTTTGAGAAGTTGGACATCACACCCAAGAGTGCCCAGAAGCTGAAGCCAGTTCTGGAGAAGTGGTTGAATGAGGCAGAGCTCCGGAACCAGGAAGGCCAGCAGAATCTGATGGAGTTCGTGGGCGGTGAGCCCTCCAAGAAACGCAAGCGGCGCACTTCCTTCACACCACAGGCCATAGAGGCTCTCAATGCCTACTTTGAGAAGAACCCACTGCCCACTGGCCAGGAGATCACCGAGATCGCTAAGGAACTCAACTATGACCGTGAGGTGGTGCGAGTTTGGTTCTGTAACCGACGCCAGACACTGAAAAACACCAGCAAGCTGAACGTCTTTCAGATCCCTTAGGGCTTCGTCTTGGCCCTTGTTCCAGCACTTTCTACTCTTCCCACAGCAGCCAGCTGTTGTCACTGCAGTGACAGTACCATGTGCAGCTGTGCTTGCCCTAGGTCATGAGACCTCCGCCTGTGCATGTGTGTCAATGCCTGCCTCTTCTGCCCACATATGTCACACCCTGGGGAGGCCCAAAGGGCTGCATGAGAGCCCTAGGCTCAGGGCTGGGCACACAGAAAGAGGGAATTTGTGATGTCTTTTCAAAAAGCACTTTCCCAACATGGTTTCTGAAGGGTGAATTCTGGTTGGGAACCAGCAAGGTGCTGTCTTTGGGGCCGGGCTATAGCAACTCTTGGGGACCGCTGTGCATTAGGTCTTGTTTTTGGTGGCACTTTCTGCCCCTTCCTCCTAGCTCCTCTGTGGTCATACCAGTATGACAACTCACCAAGTGGGACCTCAGCCTCACACTGCCCTCCTTTACTTTGTACATGGGCACATTGAATCCCTTAAAGGACCAAGGAGATGAAATTTAGAAAAGCGTGACTCACTGTCTGCCTTGACCTCAAGGGCAGAAGGTCCCCAAAGCCGTGAGGTCAGATGCCATGAAGTCCCTCTTGGGGTCATGGGGGTGGTGGGATTGCACTAATTCAGAACCTTTTCCTCTGCAAACCAAGATGGAAGGGAATCAACAGCGAACTTCCCCATCCTGGAGAGTTTTAGGTCTGTTGTGGGTCTGGGACTTAGTAAATAAGGTCATCTGTCCAGATTTTAATCTAATCTTCATCATGGCTGTCTTTCAAGCAAAGCTCTCTAGAGAGCTGTCAGCTTGGGAACATTCCCATTGCCAGCCTCTGCTGGCAGCTGCAGGGGGCTCAAATCCCGACTTCCTCTCTCTCATGCCTATACCCATCTCAGTCCAGTATTGGGGTCTCTTTAGAAGGGCAAATTGAATGATAAGCCAGACAGCAAGGAGCTGGAGTGGCGAGGAAGACAATACCCAGAAAGATGATGGTCCGGGAAGACCTCTAGTTGAAGCTGACTTGATGTTGGAGTCCTCTCACTTTGTCTGATTGCAGACCAAGTCTATGTGTGAGCAACCCCTCCCCACCCCCTCTGCAATGCTCCTCTGAGCCAAGAGTGCTCCAGGTCCAGATGGACTTTGCCTCTGTAGGTGATAGCATGCTTGGGGGTTGGCCTCATATCCAAGCCACTAAGTGAGTTTCCAGCCACAGGGAGGCTATCCAGTCCTTCACTTCAGTGTGTTCACTGGGGAATGTAGCTCAGAGGTCAAGAATTTAGCATGTTCAAGACTCCAGATTCAGTTTCTAGCACAGAGGGGGAAAAATTAGTATTTGGTTTCAGGAAGTCAGGAAAGGTTTGCCTGAATGACCCAAGACTTGTCATGTAGACTGTCCCTAAAGGGCTGCAAGCTGCAGGGGCCAACCATTTCACTACTTTTTGGTTTGGTTTGTTCTTTTGTTTTTTGAGATAGGATCTCACTTAGCCCAGGCTGACTTCAAATTTGTAGTTGAAAATGACCTTGAACTCTTGATCCTCCTGTCTCCACCCCTCAAGTGATGGGATTATAGTCATGTGCCACCGTGCCTGGCTCTTCTCTACTCTTAGCCTTACAGAGCCTGTTCTTTAGTCCATGTCCACCCAGTACTTCATGTGATCAGCCCTGAGGAAATGACAGTCCAGTAAGAACACATTACCATCTCTGTCTGTCAGAGTGCAGAGACACTGGAGCCTACCTTTCTCTCCTGCACTCTGTTCCCTGGTGACTCCTAGTCCCTCTTAGGTCTTGCCATACCATTGTGTGCTAAATCAACACACTCACACACACACACACACACACACACACACACACACACACACACACACACACTTCACTGCATTTGAATCAACCAAACCTGCTGGAGTCTGGGAATAGGGAAGCAGGTGGATAGCTTTCCTGACTCTGCTGCCCAGGACAGAATGTCCCCAGAGGAGGAAGCTCCATCTAGATTGTAATTGTCAGCCTGCTTCCATGAGCTGGGAAGTCAAGAGGGGTGCTTACATCCTGGGGCTTACAAAGTGACTCACTTAAGAAGTTAAATGCAGCTTTTCTTGCTCAAAACCTGCACTCAGGAGTGCTGGCTTTTGGTGTGTGCGCGTGTGTGTGTGTGTGTGCATGCGTGCGTGCGTGCGTGTGTGTGTGTGTGTGTGTGTGTGTGTGTGTGTGTGTGTGTGTGTGTAGGGTGGCTTGTAAAATGAGGTGTGGCCATGCCATGGGCTTGCAAGAGGCTACCATCTGTTCTGTGGCATGATAGGAAAAAGAAATCATGAACCACTGATCTAAATTAAGCCCGGCCATACTTTCTCAATCCATCCTTGGTCTAAATCTGTCTTCCTGAGGCTGGACTAGAGTAAACCATTTTTCTCCTGTATAGGAAAGCAGCATTGGTCTTTCCGGAGAACAGTACAAGAGCCCAGATGCTTACAGGCTGGGTTTCTCAATAGGAGGATGAAAGGTATGTTTAGGTGTACCCAAAGTATAGTCACTTGGCTCATGAACTCTGCCTCTGCTCCCCCAATCTGAGCCACTGACCTACAAGACAGTTTTTGTTATTTTTGGGGTTTGGGGAGCATTAAATTCTTTAAAAGAGTTAATAATTTTATTTTGAAAGTACCTTCTTGGACTTAGGTCATGCCCAATGGCTTTTTTGCCCTGAAAGATAGGAGAATGGGTAGAAATGGTGAACTGTATGGTTTGTTAGCTAGACCTGACTATGACTGCTGAATCAGCAAAGTCCAGAGAAGAAACTGTTCACATGACCTGTAAACGCACTTGAATTTGGAATGAGAAAGCCTGACATGTTTGTGTTCTTGAAAATCCAGTCACCTTTCTACACCCAGGATTCCCTCCCTGCCTCCTAGGCCAGTTTCTGACATTGATGTCCTGAAGGCCTCCCTGTATGGGGCACTGCCCCCCAGGAAGCTGGGAAGAACAGAGGAGAAGCACTCTATGTAGTTGTGTGAATAAACAGTATTTTTTTTCTTTTGTATTGCTCTGCCTACTTTGTTACTCCCCAAATGTAAGAGAACCGGTGTTGGAGGCCGAAGCTGCATCAGAGCTGCCTTTGTGGCTGAAGGCTTGCCTAGTGAACCCACAGAGGGTATAGGTCAGGCAATCCTGCTTCGGCCTTCCATGCCTAGACTCTTCCTCTGGGGCTGGGGCTGTGCAGGGCTGTGCTAAGGGGGCATTGCCCTTTTTCTCCTAAACTATCCTTCTGGTACTTAGGGTCCCAGAATCCCCTGCTAAGTCTGCTTTTTTCTTTCTTCCCAGTAACAGTTTATGCTGCTTGTGTGTGCACTTCCAGTTTATAGTCTATGCTTTAACAAAATCACTCATCTTGAGCAACTTTTAATAAGTGAAAGTTCCTGCTTATAGTTTTGGAGCCTGAGGCATCTACCTGGAAGGAGCCTGGTGTCTATCTGGTGAGGGCTTCTTCCTCATAGACGGATGTCTTTACATGGAACCTCACATGGTACAGGGAAACATGCTCCCTCAAGCATCCTTTTAAAGGGCTCTCTACCCTTATGATTTAATCATAACAGTAACAATAGCTTGGTTTATACAGCTCTTTATTAAGATGAGGCTGTGTGCTAAGTGGCTCTTTATTTTGTTCTTTCCCCAGCGTGCAAATGTTTGGGACAGACCTGTCTCTGAGTTTAAAGCTAGGAGAGTACAGCTGCCAAGAGGGCTTCTCTTGACCCATCCACTTTCTGGGACTGGTATTCTCCCTCAATGACCTCACCCCACCTACCTGGTGTGGATAAGTCTGAACTGCATAATCTAAATCAGCAAGAACAAGATCACCCCTTCACTCTACATGATTCTAGATCATTTCCACCTCCCTGCCCAAGCCCAAGGGGTTAATGGATGTCAGAGACACTGACCCAAGGCTTGGGATGAAAGGAATTTTGTGGTACCCTCAAACAATGGGGTACCAGCACTTACTTATGCTAGCAAAGACCTCAAACCCTGACTGGATATTTAGTATTAACTAGTCACGAGAGCTGTGGGGTCAGTAAAATGGACAGGCACAAGATCAGTGCTCCGTAATCTGGATAATTGCCATATGGACTCATAAACATGCTTCTCCCTTTGCCTTCAAGGAAATAATGAAGTCTGAGACCCTGGCTCCAGGAGCGCAGGCACAAAGATTCTACTTAGCATGGAAGCTTTGGACTGTAAAACACGGGAGTAAACAGAATCTGAATGGAGACAGACCACACCAGGAGATTCCTAGGAGCTGGGAGTGCTGGCTCAGACCAGTTGAGAGTGGTTCCTGGCAGTTGGCCCAGGAAGATTTTAGACTTTAGAGGAAGGGGGCTAGTACAGGACTGCAATTTTATTTCCACACTTGAGAAGGTCATTGTTCTATAGATGGTTTTGAAGAAGTTTTCTTTTGTTGTTGTTTTTTGTTTGTTTGTTTTTGTTCTTTTTTTTTAATTCATTTGACAAGTGCCTGGTTTGGGGACAGGAGAAGAGAGAAGGCCTAGGTTGCTTGAAACATCATGGAGGTGGAAACCTGATTAGTTCTCTTTCAGCCACAAGGTCCTTAAAGAAGCACGTTAGGAAAGCTGGGGCTGTGGGAAGGCTGACTGTCAGTCCTTAAAAAGTCTTCCTGGGGTTAGATCTTCTTCCCATCTGGAGGAAAATGCCAGGGATTGACCTAAGAACCCAGAAATGCTGATTGACGGGAATGATTGAGTGAGAAGGGAAGCTTGATCCAGGAGGCCTGAGATGACTGATCATCTCAAGACAGCTACAAGGTGCTCTGTCTGTCACCAGCTCAACTTCACCCATCACCATGTGCTTTGCTTTCTTTTCATTGTTTCAGGTGATTCTCATAATTTTATGAAGAACTGTCATCATGTTCATTTCACAGCTAGGGATCCAGGTTCAGGGAAGATGAATGTGTTCAAAGCCACCTACTTTCTGAGTGGCAGAATTGGGTCTTGAACCTGGATGGGCTGTCTCTAAAGCTTTTCTGTGCTTAACTAACACCTAACTCTGAATAGACGTTGACATATTTTATTTGAGAAGTGTCCACTTCCAGGACCTAATCTAGGGAATCAAACCTTTCACAGAACATTGCTTCTGGGGAAGAGCTTTGAGATGGGGACCTCTGGGACTCACAGTCATTCTCAAGTTTACCACAGTCTACAAAAATAGATTTGGACCTTTTATTAGTTGTATTTATTAGGCTTAACAGGATCTATACTTTGTTGGTTGAGTTAATGGGTTTAGAAATTTGGCCTGATAGTGGCTATTACTGAATTTTTAGGGTGTTGGGATCCTGGTCTCCCATCCTGGAGCTCCAATCTCACTTTTAGTTGCAGTGGGACAATGGAAGGGGAATCAGTAAGACTGTAGGCCTGGACTCAGGGCAGGCTGTGTTCCATTGGGATGGGCCAGTTCTGTTTGCCATCGGTTTGTTTTAGGATTATGAATAGGAGTTGCCTTGCATATCTTGGTTGTGCTTCAAAATTTAAACTTAGGTTCAGACATTTCCAAGAAATACATGTCTATCTTTCTCTAAATATTTTCCAGAAGATAAAGTTCCTTGATGTCCTTGAATATGGCAGGGCTCTCTCTTCTAAAATGCTAGCTAGCATTATTCTGGTTTGTAAAGTCCATTGTCTTCATCCAATAAAACAGCTTAATTCAATACATCTTTTAAAAAGATGTTTATATTTTAAAGAAGATTTGTCTTAAAAAAATTTTTGTTTTGAGACAGGATTGTACTACATCGTAGCCCTGGCTGTCCTAGAGCTCACAATGTAGATCAGGTTAGCCTCAAACTCAGAGACAGACTTGCTTCTGCCTCCCAACTACTAGGATTTGTGAGTTCTCTGAATTGAAGGACAGCTTGGTCTACAAAGTGAGTTCCAGAACAACTAGGAAGGGTATACAGAGAAACCTGTTTTAAAAAGATAAAATAGCAATAACATTAAGGTGTGCACCACCATTCCTGGATTTTATTTATTTATTTATTTATTTATTTATTTATTTATTTATTTGAGACAGGGTTTCCCTGTGTAGCTTTGGAGGCTGTCCTGTCTTGTAGACCAGACTGGTAACAAACTCACAGAGATCTGCTTGCCTCTGTCTCCCAAGTGCTGGGATTAAAGGCATGCACCACCATCGACTGACCCTGGATTTCATCTTTAATTATGTGTATGTGTGTATCTGAGTATGGGCTCATATGTGCTCATGAGTTCAGATGTTTCTGGAAGGACAGAAGAAGGCAGATCCCCTAGAGGTGGAGATCTGAGCCACCTAACATGGGTGTGGGGAACCAAACTCTGGTTCTCTGCAACAGCAGTACTTAGTGTTAACCACTGAGACATCTCTATGTTTCCTAGTTTCTATTAAGTTGTGTGTGTGTTCTTACACATAAGTGTAGGTGCTTGTAGAGACCAGAAGGAGCTGACAAGATTCCTGAGACCCAGAATTACTGGTTGTTATGAGCTACCTAACATGGATGCTGGAGACTGAACTCAGGTCCTCAGAAAGACCAGCAAGTGTTCAACATGGAGCCATCTCTTCAGCCCTTATCTATCTATCTATCTATCTATCTATCTATCTATCTATCTATCTATCTATCTATTTTTGGTTTGTGGAGACAGAGTTTCTCTGTCTTTGTAGACCAGGCTGGCCTCTAACTCACGGAGATCTGCCTGTCTCTGCCTTCTGAGTGCTGGGATTAAAGGCATGCGCCACCACTACCCGGCTTGTCTTCAGCCCTTATTAAATAATTCTTCATGGGCATAATCCTTCCTTCCTCCTTCCCTTCCTCTCTCTCTCCCTCCCTTCCTTCTTTTCTTCCTTCCTCCCCCACCCACTTTTTTTTTCTTTCTTTGACAGAGTCTTATTTACTATATCTGGCTGGCTTAGAACTCACTATAGACCAGCCTGGCTTCAAGCTCACAGACATCTGTCTGTCTTTTCCTCTTGAATACTGGAATTAAAGGCATCATGTCTGACATTCATTAAATATTTTTAATATTTATGTACTTTATTTTATGTGCTTGAGTGTTTTGTCTGCATGCTTGTATGTACTACATGTGCACCCTTGGATCCTCAGAGACCAAAAGAGGGCCTCAGATCTCCTGGAACTGGAGTTACAGACAGTTGTGAGCCATAATTATGTGAGTGCTAGGAACCCAATCTGGAAGAGAGGGCTCAGTTAAGAACACTGGCTGCTCTTGCAGAAGGCCTGAATTGGGTTCCCAGCATCCACATGGTGACTCACAACCTCTTATAACTCCAGTTCCAGGGGATCTGACACCCCCTTCTCACCTCTATGGACACCAGACAAGCTCTTAGTATACAGATATACATATAGGCAAATCATTCATGCATATAACATCTATAAATCTTTTTTAAAAAATAAAATAAAATGTAAGTGTATTTTTGTGTATAAGTGTGTATGTGCATACTACGTTGTACGTGTGGAAGCCAGCTTGTGGAAGTTGGTCCTCTTCTTACACTATGAATTCCCAGTAATCAGGTTGGCAGGCTTGGCAGGTAGCAAGCACCTGACTGAAGAGTTCATCTTACTGGCTGTGACAGTTTCATTATAAAGTTAGTACAGTCTAGAGTCACCTGGGGATTGTCTATACCAGGTTGGCAATTGTGGGGGATTGTCTTGGTTGTCTTACAGATGTGGGGAGAGCCACTGTAAATGTGGGCAGCCCCTGTGGTATCGGCCCAGACAAAAGGACATGGACATGGAAAGCCTTCACTCTCGCTGAAGAGTTAGTTCATCTACCCCTCTCCAATGAGTTCATCTACCCCACTGCTGCCACTAAGAACCTTTCACTGACGCTGGGACCAGCATTTTTTAGGCTTCCAATGAGGACTGAAGATCAGCAATTCCCCAGAAATCCTTCAAGCATCCAGTGCCTGGTTAGGACTGCTGAGACACCAGCCTTCTTGACCTCTTTGTGTGAAAAAGCTGTTGTTGTACTTCTCTAACCTTGTCAAGTAAACCAGTCTAATAAATTCCTTTTTAATATACATATTCATTAAGTCGGTTCTGTTCCTTTAGAAACCCTGACTAATACACTAGCCCTCACCATCAAATTTCCTAAGCCTGAATTCGTTGCCTATGAAATGAATTTAATGCTAACTTTGGCTAACTGTATTAAAGTAGAAAGAGCACAGAAAGAACACGAGAGAGATCAGAGAATAAAGAAGGAAGTCATCAATAGAATGTATGAGTGTTTCCTAAGTTTAGCTTAAGCTGACTGGACTCCGTATTCCTTTCAAAGCCCTGTGTTGCTGGATGCGGGTCCCTCAGACAGCGGTATTTATCTGTGTACTATGTGTGTTCCTGGTGCCTTCAGGAGGTCAGACAGTATGTCGGCTCTCCTGGGACTGTAGTTATAGACTGTGGTGAGCAGTCATGTAGGTTGCTGGAGATTGAACTTGGGTCCTTGGAAGAGTAGCCAGTGTTCTTAACCACTGAGCCATCACTCCATTCCCCCTTAAAATCTTATTTTAACCATGTATATGTGTGTGTGTGGGGGAAATATGTGCATGTGACCACCCACAGTAGTCAATGGAATGGAGTCACTCTTGGGCAGGAGTTACACAAGGTTTTGAGTAGTTTTTACTGTAAACCACTTAGCCATTTTCCAGCCCTTCCCCCTTTTCTTTTCTTTTTCCTTCTTTCTTTCCTTCTTCTCCTCTTTCTCTCTCTCTCTTTTGATTTTTCGAAACAGGCTTCAGGGTTTCTCTGTGGCTTTGGAGGCTATCCTGGAACTCATCTGTAGACCAAGCTGATTTTGGCCTCACAGAGATCTGCCTGCCTCTGCCTCCCGAGTGGCTAGCTCTCTCTTAATTATTATCCCATAACTATTACTCTGTGTATCTACCCTACCTTCCAGGTAGCTACATGGTGTCTCTCTGGGGGCTCCTCTCTGCCTCCTCTCCCAGAATTCTCCTCGTCTGGTAGTCCCGCCTATACTTCCTGCCTGGTTAATGGCCAATCAGCATTTATTCACCAACCACTAAGAGAATCATATTAACAGCATACAGAGGGACATCCCTTCCTTCTTTCCTTCCTTCCTCTCTCCCCCTCCCTTCCTCCCTCCCTCCTTCCTGTTCTTCCTTCCAGACAGTGTCTCACTCTATAGTACAGGTTATCCATCAGCTCTCTATACAGCCCAGGCTTGCCTTCAAGTACTCGATACTTATGCCTCATTTTCTCAAATGCTAAAACTTCAGGCATGTGCTACCAGGCTTGGCCTTTTCTTTTTAACACAGCCCTTGTAGGCCAGGCTGGCCCCAAACTCATAGTCTCCTGCATTTGCCCCTGAATTTGGGGATTAAAGGTGTGGGCCACCACACCAAGTATTTTCCTCGATCTCTTAGGAGGTAGAAATCCAGTGAGAGAAGTCGTTTTTATTAAGAAATATAAGTTGAAGCTGGGATGAACTACACCAATGATGCACACTTTCAAGTATGTGTCTTCCATTGAGTGCCAGGTTTATCACAATTTAGTTCTGGCTAATTTATGCTCTCAGCCTGTTTTCTGATTGGTAAAGTAAGTGCCATTTACCTTTAGAATTTAAGACACTAGGTACACCTGGCTGTCCTGGAACTTGGTATGTAGGCTAGACTGGCTTGAATGTGTGGCGATCCTCCTGCCTTAAGCTACTACTGAGTGCTAGGGTTTTAGGAGCGCACCACCACACTCTATTAGCATTCTAATTACAACCCTGTCTTGAGGAATTCTAGTAAAGTAATACCGTTCATAATACACTGTTATATAGCTAATGCTAATAAAAAAGGCCATAATTACTTAATCCTCAAAAGAGCAAGGTAGAGCTGGCACCAATTCATCCCCCTGCTGCAGTCTTCATTATCCCTGGCTTGCCTGGAAATCGGTGATCAGCCTGCCTCTGGCTCTGGAGTACTGGGATCAAAGGCATAAGCCACCATGCCTGGATATGGTGTCTTTATTTACAATTAAGTAAGTCCAACCTCTATGGAACTATTCTGAAATTGTGGAAGTATAAAAAAAGATACCAGCCCCGACTTTGCTCTGTAGATCTTTTCCCCAAACTCCTCCATAACCATAAAAAAAAAAAAAAAAAAAAAAAAAAAGCGGGGCATGGTGGCCTGCACTTTTAACCCCAGCTCTCGGTAGGCAGAGGTTGCAAGTCTCTGAGTTCCAGGCCAGTCAAAACTATGTAGAGAGCCCGATGTCAAAACATCAACAAAAAAATACCCCGTTTTCTCCTGCTCTAATGCATTACGGAGAAAGAGGAAGATAAGGGGCGGTAAATGAGGAGAGTTTAAGACGGAGCACCAGGGAAAAAAAGTCCCTCCAGGGATGGCAGCGGGCTAGGTGAGGCCAAAACGACAGCGCTCAGACAGACTGACTGTCAGGCAGAATGACTAGAAGCGACCTTAACATTCCTAGGTGTGCGCGAATCCGGTTCACACCTGGACCCTGAGCCCCGCCCACTGCCTCGAGGGGCGGGGAACCTTAGCTCCGCTAGCATATCTCCCCCGCGGAGGCCGAGCCAGGTTCCTCTTCATTGGTGGGTGGTGCAGTGACGTTACCCTCGGGGAGGGGGAGAGGATGCCATGATTGGTCGGCCCCGGGGCAAGGTTTTTGCGTCCAGGCTGCGCCGAACTTTCTCCGTCCCTGTCTCTAGGCGGTCGCGGGGTCTCCAGAAGGCGTGGGGACTACTCTGCAGAGACCTGGCTTTGTCTGGAGGGCCGAGGACCGGGAGGACCGGTGACCGGAAGTGATCTGACTGACCGGAAGCAAGGCCTGAGGGGAAAGTGCGGCTCCCCCGAGAGGGAGGAGCCTTCCACGGAAGGGGGCGGAGGGGACGCCGGGAGGGGCTGGCGTGTTTCGCTAGCCTGCTTTGATTCTGTGTGTAGGGAGCTGAGCTTCTGGGAGGGCTGGAGAGCATCCTAGTCCCAGACTCTGAGCCCTGGCAAGTCCCGAGAGCCCCCGGGGCATCAGAGGAGGAACCGGGGTGCAACCAGCAGGTCAGGCTCCGGGCTCTGGTGCGCTGTGCGAGGGAGCTTGGTGTGTAGTTCACGACAGCTGTGGTGACCCTGCCGGGTAGAGTTACCCTCGGTGCCTTCGTACAGGCCAGGAAGGAACCAGGATGGCCTGGGCTCTGAAGCTGCCACTGGCGGATGAAGTGATCGAGTCTGGGCTGGTGCAGGACTTTGATGCTAGCCTGTCCGGCATTGGCCAGGAACTGGGTGCCGGTGCTTATAGCATGAGGTGAGTAATGTTTTCCTCAGACCTTACCTTCCGAAAAACAAAGGCAGGGTCTTGAAAGTGGGGAGGTCGGGTTTACAGAGTTTAAAAGCTGCCTGCAACGGGGTGGTATGGGAGAATTGGAAAAAGGCTGTAGAAGTGTCAACTCTGCAGGGCCCTTGGAAAGAGATGGAATGGCTCTTGATTAGCATCCATGTGGTGTGGGAGACTGGGGTTCTGGCTATATATGTATATGATGTGGGCATGCCTGGATTCGTTTAAGGAAGGGTTACATTGAGCAAGTGAGGGATGTCTAGGTAGTTGGAGAGTTGGGAACTGTGGCTTAAGTTGACTACTTGGGCAAGAAGTCCACACTTAGCTGTACCTCTTATGACAAACTTGTTTGAAGGCTTCTCTTCCAGGGTTTCTTTCTGTCTTTGGAAACTTGAGCTGAGAAGTTTTTAAAAAGTGACAGAGAAAGCCATGCATACCAGTGCAGGTCTAAAATACCCAGCACTCAGGGAATCAGGAATTCGAAGCCATCCTTGGCTGCAAAGTCGTTAGCACAGGCTACATGAGATCCTGTCTCAAAAAAAAAAAAAAAAAAAAAAAAAAAAAAATGGCAAAGGTAACTTTTAGATGTTTTTAAACACTTGTATATTGAGCTAATTGTCAGGGAAGGTGGGTGTACGCAGTGCCCCACACTGCTGGGAGCAGCAGCTGGAGTTTTCTTCCCGTTAGGAATCGCTGCTTAGGTAAAGCTGGATTCTTGACTATGCTACAGAAAAAGAATTTCGGCTGCTATGAAGCAGAGTTGGAGTTTATTAAAATGTTTTTCAACATCGATTTAAGCCTGGGAACTAAAGGAAAGTGAGGAGCTCAGGGAAGAAAGAGGTTGGGGTCATAACTGTCTTTACAGTGACTATATTAAGTGCCTGAGTTATACTTAACAGCGTTTCTAAGAAACCTAACAGATCATGGATCATGCGTGGGGATTACTCTAGGTCTCAAAGGTTGCTGCAGAAATTAACATGTTTTTCTGTAAACAAAAATTTAGTCTTGTTTTGGGGATTCCTAGAAAATATCTGGGAAAGGAGAAAGGCTATATTTGAAGGTAATGCAGGCATAGGTCTTAAACATATTTCACTACTATTTTAAAATTCTTTTCTATATAAAAGGAATATTATTTCTATGTTGGTCATCTTCACACCAAAAGCTTACTTGTATTGGGAACCTCCTACCCCCATTTGAGTGTGTGTGTGTGTGTGTGTGTGTGTGTGTGTGCATTCATGCATGCATGCACACGTGTGTGCCATGGCACCTGTGGAGGTCAGGGTACAACTTTCAGGAATTAATTTTGGTCTTCCACCACGTGGACTCTAGGGTGGAACTCACCTCGTCAGACTTGGTGGCAAAGGCCATGACTCATTCATTGACTGATTCTCAGTGCCAGAGGTTTTAGTCACATTCCTTTCCTTTCCCTCTTGTTGTAATTTCCCCTCTCTGAAAGTTTTGTTTGCTTTGTTTTTCAAGACAGGGTTTCCCTGTGTAGCTTTGGAGCCTGTCCTGGAACTCACTTTGTAGACCAGGCTGGACTCAGACTCATCCGCCTGTCTCTGCTGGAATTAAAGGTGTGCACCACCATGCCCCATTCCCTCTGAGACTTTTAAGGCTAAAAATCTGTTTTCTAGAACTACTTTTGTGTTGGATAGAGTTGCAGACCCTACCTATCCAGGGAGCAAAAGTCAGCTTGAACCTTCAACACAGTGTTAAAAAACAATGGGAATAGTGAATGTCTTGTTCCTGACTTCAGTGGGATTGCTTCAAGCTTTTCTCCATTTAGGACAGTGGTTCTCAACCTGTGAGTCGGACCTCCTTGAGGGTTGCATATCAGATATTTACATTATGATTCATAATAGTAAAAAAAATTATAGTTATAAAATAGCAATGGAATAATTTTGTGGCTGGGAGTTGCCACAACATGAGAAACTATATTAAAGGTTTGAAGCATTAGGAAGGTTGAGAACCACTGATGAGGATGATGTTGGCTCTGAGTTCCTTGTATATAGCTTTTATTATGTTGAAGTATGTTCCCTCTGGCCCAGCGTTCTCTAGAACTTTTATCAAGATATGCTAATAATAAAAGTTTTTTCTGCATTTATTGAAATGATTATGTGATTTTTGTCTTTAGGTCTATGAATGTGGTTTATTGCATTTATTGACTTGTGTATGGTCCCTGCATTTCAGGTAAAGACTAGTCATGGTGTATACTTTTTTAGATGTATGTTTGTATTATGTTTGGAAGTATTTTATTGTGTATTTTTGAGTCTGTGTTCATTGGAGATATTGGCCTATAGTTTTCTTTTTTTTCCTGTTGTATCTTTCCTTGGTTTAGGATTAGATTGATACAGTAGGAGTTTCCTTCTCTGCTCTTTATTTTTACTAGTTTAAGAAGGACTGGCTACAGATGTTTGGCTATCTCATATAATTCATCTGACTCTAAGCTTTTTTCCCTTTTAGCTGGAAGGTTTTCAATTACTATTTCAATCTCCTCATTTGTTATGGGTCTGTTTAGGTTGTTGACTTCTTGGTTCCATTTTGGTGGTTTGGGGGGGAATCTAGAAATCCATTTTTAAAAAGTTTTTCTGCTTCATGGAGTACAAGTTTTGAAAACACTCCTCTATAGTATTTTGAATTTATTTGATGTCTATTGTAATGTTTTCTTGTTCATTTATGACTCTGTTAATTTGGGTCCTCTCTCTTTTGTTCAGTTGACCAAGGGTCTGCCAGTTTGGTTTATCTTCTCAAAGAAACAGCTCTTAAGATTTTTGATTCTTTGTATTGTTTTCTTTGTTTCTATTTTGTTGATTTCTGCTCTGATAGTATTTCTTGCCACATACTGGTTTGGGTTTGTTTTGTTCTTTTTTTTTTTTTTTTTTTCCAGCTTTTTGAATTGCATCATCAAGCCATTCATTTGTGCTCTGCCTAATTATGCTGATTATGATATAGGCATGTAGAGAGCTATGATTTCTCATGTGGGACTGCCTTCAGGGCATCTTTGTTCTGTTTTCATCTTCAGTTAGTTCCAGGAAGTTTCTTTCTTTCTTGACCTCTTCTTTGACCTACTCATAATTTAGTAGTGAGTTGTTTAATCTCCATGAATTTGTATATTCGATAGAGGGTTTTTGGGTTTTTTGTTTGGTTTTATTATTTTTTTTTCTACCAATTGTAAGTTTCATTGCATTGTGGTCAGATAGGATACAGGGGGTGATTTCAGTCTTTTTGAATTTGGAAATATTTGTTTTGTGTTCCAGGATGTGATCTATTTTAGAATGACTGCCATGTGCTGCTGAATAGAATGTGTATTCTTGTATTCTCTAGTGTTTGATATCTTATAGATATCTGTTAAGTTCATTTGATGCCTGATGCCAATTATTTTTGATGTTTCTTCTTTCTTTTTTTTTTGTCCAAATGACCTGTCTGTTGGAGAAAGTAGAGTATTAAAATCAACTACTATTAATGGATTGATGTTAATCTATGTCTTTAATTCCAGGAGAACATTTTTAATGAGATTAGGTGCACTAGAGTTTGTTGCACATGTGTTTAGGATAGTAATGTCTTTTTGGATAACTTTTCCTTGATTGGAATGAGGTGTCCCTCTTACTTTTAGGCTGAAGTCTGTTTTGTCAGTTAGTTGGAGAGCAACACCTGCTTGCTTCCTGATCCCATCTGATTAGAGTACTTTTGTTCATTCTTTTACACTAAGGCAGTATCTATCTTTAAAACTAAAATGTGTTTCTTGTAGGCAGCATATAGATAGAATTTGTTTCTTGATCCATTTAGTCAGTCTGTGTCTTTTGATTGGGGAATGGAAGTCATTCATATTTAAAGTTGATATTGAAATGTGTGTGTTAATTGATCATTGTGTTGTCAGTTTTTAGTGTTGTTTGTGTTCTCAGTGGTACTTTCTGTTGTAATAATTATGGTTATGTATTTCTTTCCACAGTCTCCCTGATATGCTATCCTTCTCTTTAGCCTGAAATAATGTTTTCTTCTATTTTATTTAACGTTGGCTTGTTGGGTATAATTTTTTTTAAGCTGTTAATATCATGGAAAGTTTTTCTCCTTCAGACATGGCTGGGTATATTATTCTGTGATGGCCATCACAGTCTTTTGGGACTTGGGATGCATTGTTCTAGGCTCTTCTGGCTTTGAAAGTTTCTATTGAGAAATCTGCTCTTATTCTGATGGGTTTTCCTTTGTATGTGGCTTGCATTTCTTCCCTTGTGCCTTTCAATACACTATCTTTTTTATGTATACTCAGTGTTTTAACTATGATATGCTGTGGAGATTTTCTTTTCTGATCTCTCTTTGATATTCTGTGTGCTTCTTGTCATGTGGGTGTGTCTTTCCTTAGTTTGAGGATGTTTTCTTCCATGGTCTTGTTGAAAATCTTGTCTATGTCATTGACTTTGGATTCTTCTCCCCTATCTTTGACTGTAATTAAAAGTATTATTTTAAAGTTTTATTTTGTTTTGAACATGGCCCCACGTTTCTTGTATATTTCTTTCTTGTGCTTTTATTTTATTTTTTGCATTCTTGCTTATTTGGTTTAGATCCTCACTTTTATCTATCTTCAAGACTTGATGTTCTGTCTTTTGCTTGATTCATTCTACTTGTAAAGCTTTCCTTTGAGTTTTCTGTTGGGCTGTTGGGATTTTCACTTCCATCTTCATTTCAGCTTGTGTCCTCTTCACCGTTTCTGTGTCCTGGCTGAATCCCATTCTCAAGCCTGGGCTTGTCTTTGTCATTTCCATCAGCCTTGTGTTTGTGTTTCCCTAGGCACCACCCGGACATTTAGTTTCCTTAAGCTCTTTCTTCTTGATTTCTTTGAGCTGTTTCTTTGTATCTCTCTTAAATTCCTTGAAATCTTTGAGAAAGTTTATGATTGTTCTTTTAAATTCTGTGTCCTGGGGTTCATCTAGGTAATTGTCATTGGCAAGCATGTCTATAGGACTGGTGGG